CATGAAGTCTTCATCTGTCAGAAGAAATATGCCAAGGAGATTCTGAAGAAGTTTAAACTCGAAGAATATAAAAAAATAAGGACACCAATGAACTCAAAGGAAAAGCTCTGTAAAGAAGATGGAATAGAGAAGATTGATCAGGCATATTTCAAAAGCCTGATTGGTTGCTTAATGTTTCTCACAGTAACTCGACCTGACATTTTGAATGCTGTAAGCATTTTATCTCGGTTTATGCATTGTGCAAGTGAATGGCATCTCAAGGCTGCAAAGAGGGTGCTTAGATATGTGAAAGGCACAAGTGATTTTGGCATTAAATACACAAAGAGCAAAGAGTTCAAGTTGGTTGGTTTCTCAGACAGTGATTGGGAAGGTTCCATTGATGATATGAAGAGCACTTCAGGTTATTGTTTCACACTTTGGTTCTGGTGTTTTCTCATGGAGCTCGAAAAAACAAGAAATTGTAGCTCAATCCACAGCTGAAGCAGAGTTTATTGCTGCAACAGCTGCTGTTAATCAAGCTTTGTGGCTAAGGAAGATTTTAATCGATCTTAACTTAGAGCAGGAGGAAAGCACGAAGATTCTTATTGACAATCAAGTTGCCATTGCTATCTCTCAAAATCCTGTGTTTCACGGGAAAACTAAACATTTTAATATTAAATTATTCTTCTTAAGGGAAGTACAGAAAGATGGAGCTATTGTTCTTGTCTACTGCAAAACAGAAGATCAGGTTGCAGATGTTTTCACCAAGCCACTTCCAGTTAGCAAGTTTGAATTTCTGATGACAAAACTTGGTGTTTGCAGCTCCTAAAGCAAGGAGGAGTGTTAGAAGATGTGTTTAGGACTGCTAATGTGGATTCATTGAATGTTTCATGTAGTTTCTATTTTTCTGGTGTTGGTTATTTTTTTGTTATTCATGCTGGTGGTCATGGCTTAATCTTAGGATTATGATTTTAGTGGGTAATTATTAATTAGGCTTTAAATTGTAATGTTTTTAATGTTAAGAAATGCAACAGTGAGTAAAGTTTTCTTTGCTTCAAAGATACAACATAAACAAAACAAAGTTAATTTATGTTTAATTCGTTTACCATGCTATTCATAACAAAATACAAGCTATAAAATGTTGGAAAATCTTCCACAGCAGCAATTAAAATTTTTGGAGCTTCAAGCTATGGAAGTTACAGACTTACAGACAAAAGTAAGCTTGGAAACATAGTCAGCCGCGTTTTGTCACCGACCAAATATATATAATATTGATCTGTTTAATGTAATCTAGGAGAAATCAAAGGCTCCGGAAGGAGAATTGAGTTTCTGATAGTCTAATTACTTTGCCTGCGTGTCAATATCTCTCTGCATGAAAATATATGCAATGTTTTAACAATGGGAGGTAAAGATAAACTCCTAGGGATTTATAAACTCTCAGTTTACAGATTCACAATCAACTTATCAAGCTGTGTATCTAACAAGATCTAACATGGGCTAACATGGATGGAACCAACTGACATAATGTGTGGGTTTGAATATTTATAAAACTGAAATCCTGTCTCATTGACAGGTGCTACCATGTTAGAAGAAAAAGAGAGAATCAGGGAATGAAGGGGCAAAGCAGAAGCCATGACAACTCATCAAAATGAACTAAGTCGACAAAGAAATTCAATTTCGAAAGAGTATGGTTGCATTTTACTCTACAATTCTTTTTTTTTTTTTTATGTTGATCAAATTATATTTTATTGGTCACTTCATATTGAAGATTATAACATGTGGTGGCTTCCTTTATTTTGTAACTTGATTTCTATTTCTATTCAATCTCACCTCACTCTAATAACCACTTGAGCTTTGCCCAATTTATTTTGATTTTTTGTTTCCTTATTTTTAATGTTATTGATATTTAGGGATTAGGAGAAAGAGAAATTAATAAATTAGTATTTTTTAAAATAAAAGAGGTTGTGGTCTAAATATGAAAAAGATATTGCAAATATTGATATTCGAACTCTATTAAATATTACATCTTAAAAATGATTATATAAACTAATTTAATTAAGAATCGACGTTCAAACGTGTAATATATTTTTAGTATAAGCTTTTTATAATCTTGTTGAAATAAAGGGCACCAAGCGATGAAGAATAGACTAATGCTAAGCAGCCCAGTTTTTTGTGGCCTAAGTCATTTCATATGGCCCAATTTAAAAAATATGGGGAGCTGACAAATTGACAAATTTTTTTTGGCCCAAATCTTCTTTCCAAGGTCTTCCTAGTTCCTACGGAAACATAAGCTTATACTGGCAAGATAGGTAGGGGAAGTTCTACTTCAAAAATACGAAATTTATTTTGACATATATTCTTTCAGTAAAAAATAATTGCTCAATTAGTTACATTTTTTAAATTTTATAAATAAAAAATTTATCATTCATTAGGGCACACTATCAATTAATTATTGAAAAGTTATAAAATTTGAAACCTAATTTTCTAGCCATTAATTAGGAAATATCACTTTTTAAGCACATTCTTAAAAAGCTACGAAGCAATTAAGAAATAAAAAAAAAATCTGAAATTCATTTCAGTTTAAGTATTAGATATTTGTGCAAAGTTAATAGTTAATGGTGGAATATTATTTTACTTACCAACATATTAAAATATTATAAGTCATTGAACATTTTTATACTGGTTTATTTTATGTATTTATAAGTAATTTATCAAATAACTTTTAAGTACTGAACCTTGATCATCTATTAAACAACCAATAAATATATCAATTCTACTTATATATATATAGTAATTTATAAAAATATCTTACATTAGATTTTTTTTTAACCTTTTGTTATTTTGAATGAAATTAATGATTTAATTTCCTATGAGATTGGAGTAGAACCACAGAAGAAAACATGTAAGAAAAAACTAAAAGTTGTTATGTAATGGACTCTCTAGTGAATAATATAAAATATGTTATTATCAACATCTGTTGGTCTAAGTAGTAAGGAGTTTAATTTTTCTTAAGTAAAGTTTTGATTTCGAATATTGTAAATAGAAAAAACATGCTTGGGAGAGTTTGTTCCCTTATAAAATTTGATCCATCTCAACTCTGAATTAATTAAGGCTTAAAATGACTACCAGACACTGAAAAATCGTTGACAAAAAAAATATATGTTATTTATTTATTATTTACAAGAAAAAAGAAACGTTCAATGACGTTCTAAATTTCAATATGATTAAAATAAAAATAACCTTGTTAAGGAAAACAAAATTTTTTGTTTAATTCATTCCCAAACCTTTTAACCTCTAATATTCCACGTCATCATACTTTTATCATGTAACATATCCATTATCCACGTTAAAGTTGAACAAAATGTTATCTTTCATATATAATTGAGTAATAAAAATAAAAAGTTTCAAAAAGTTAGGTGACTAAAAAGATATAATATATTCTAAATTTTGTTGTTAAAAAAATATTTTTTTTGAAGATGTTAACATAATAAATTTCTTTAATTTTTTTGGATAAGTAATAATAAATCGTTTTTAATCAAACAAATAATTAATAATCCATGTCTAGGTCTTGGAGTCGCACGAGCTTGAAACTTGAATTTCAATTCGTAACAAGTGGTATTAAAACCAATTTTGAAAGTACTAGCTATGTGTCACCGAAGATGGTGAGTCTTCATTGGAGTGATGGAAGATATCATGATTTTAGAGATGAGCCATAAATTCACATCGATTATATATTAGAGTTGATCATGAGATATAAAAGTTCATACTAACTTCTTCTTTTGAGATGTTTTTTGTAAAATAAAATTATGAGGTAAAAAAAAATCGAAGTAAATAATATATCATAATGATATAAATTGTGACAATTAAATTAATTTGAGACATCGAATGAATTTATAGTTAAAATTTAAAATTATACGAACTTAAAAATTAAATATCGATCCGTGACAAGTATCTCATTAGAACTTTAAGGATGCCAACTGGCTGGCACATTAGTCACCTTTTGGGTGATACTAATGCCGCAGAATGGATGATCCAAGTTTCAATCTGTATTCGATGCCCATTGGAATAAAAGTAGATGTTTATCCGTCAGTCCACTTCCCCTTATATACCGATCAACAAAAGGGAAGAATTGAAAGGTAGGAAAATAAAGTAGAAAAGGTTATCCAAAAGAGATGGTTAGCATTAACGTCTTATCCTTAATACTACGTACTATTATTCTATGTAAATTGGGTTTAATCTTTATCTAAATAGCTTGATTTAACAATAAATAATTTAGTTGTTCAAAATTACCCAAACATGTAAAGAGGAGTGTTCACGAGAGTAATCGACAAAAAGGAAAGTTAGAGAAATATTCAAATTTGATTTTTGAAAGAAAAAGTAAATTAGATATATACATGCATATGTACAATATTATTAAATCAAATATTAAAACGTAACTTCAATTTTAAGTTTCGGTTCTAAAGTTTGTAAGAGTAAATTACGCGTTAGGCATGCAATGGCCTACTAATTTCCTCTTCCAGGAGCCAAATAACGACATGGTCGGGTCTATTCTAGACTAGAAAGCACTAACTTGCCTAAATTTGTTAGGCAAAGGTGTCTTTGGTCAATTTTTTTTATTTGATGGAAAGGGATTTGAGTCTTTTTCTTATATTAAGTCGAATGTTTAAGTGCTAATTGACAACTAGAATTTTGTTCGGTCATGACACTTTTCATATTCAAGTATTGATCACGAAGAAAATAATTAAATGGATGGAAAAAGACTATGATCTAATATTGAAAGGAGTTAATAATAGCAAACGTAAATATATATATAAAAAAAATAAAACCTTTATAAGTTTATATTTGTTTTGAGTGAATTAGATAATAGTATTTAAAAAAAATTAATTTTAAATTTAAAAAATATATTCAATATTAATTTTTTATAAAATATTACTGAGAACATTAAATATAAATCTTCATTCTAACAAACTGATAACTGACAGATAGGTTACTATTATTATTATTATTATTATTATTATTATATTTTTTCTTTTGTAAATGGGCCCCTTTAGGAAGCTGCCATGCACTTTCCTTCCACCAACATTATACGTTTATATCAAAATTTCATTTTCTATCCTTCTCTGCGAGAAAGCATTGTATGATCAGACAAAAAGGCTTTCATGGCCGGCTTTTGCCTTCTTTATTTAAGCTGTTCAATCTTGCTGACTTCCCTTTGAAACAAACTTATATTTATTATGGAAACTGCTAAAATTTTCAAGTCTTCTAAATGGTTCTCTAACAAGAGCGTCCTTCGTTTAAACCTTCACCGACGTCGATCCAAGTGTAGCTCAACGTCCTTGAGCTATCCTGCATCATCACCAGAGTCTCCTCAAACACCTAATAAAAGAACGAAAAGGGCCGAAGACGAGATGAGAGAAGTTTTTCGCTATTTTGATGGAGATGGTGATGGAAAAATCTCTGCCCTTGAACTTAGGGCTTACTTTGGATCCATTGGAGAGTACATGTCTCATGAAGATGCTCAAGGGGTGATCAATGATCTAGACTCGGACGGCGATAGCATGTTGGACTATCAAGATTTCTTGAAGCTAATGAAAAGAGAAGCATGCAATGATGATGATCTGAAGAAAGCGTTTGAGATGTTTGAATTAGAGAAAGGTTCAGGGTGCATAACTCCCAAAGGATTGCAAAAGATGTTGAATCGCCTTGGGGATGCAAAATCTTATGATGAGTGTGTTGCCATGATTCAGGCATATGATACCGATGGTAATGGGGTCCTTGATTTTCATGAGTTTCACCGAATGATGGCTTAATTCGATAGTGGTCATGTCTTTATTTAATTTGTATAATTAAACAATATTAATGAGACTGCTAGCTATACTAAGAGTTGTACCATTTGTTTTTTTTTTTTTTTTGCTACGAACTGATGTAGTAATCACACGATGTCATCTTAATAAATCATGTCTAATATCATTTTTTTTAGATAAGTACATTTTTATTTATTTAAATAAGCAGATCCATGAATTTTTTTTTTTTTGAAAGTTTTCACTTATAATATATAAAAAATTATCATGAATTTACCAATTCGAAAAAGGTGTTCAAGAAAAAAATTTAGGATGTCCAAAATTTTTTTAAAATTTTCTATTTTCCAATATTTAGGGGTGCCTATAAACACACTATCTTTTCAGATCCGCTACTGCAAAGAAACAACATATATAAAATGCTACAAATAATAAGTATAATATTAATATTCACTCCTTTTTTGGAAACCTTGAGTTCGAAATCATTGAAAGAATACAAGAAAATAATTTTTCTTGAATTCGTTACATTTTATATAGATAACTTAAATCGATCCGAGAAAAGAATGTATTGGATGAAGTTTAAAAACCCCAAAAGTTACTCATTGAAATTTGGTATGCTATTTAGTTGCCATATCATTTTATTAAAAAAAAAAGAAAAGAAAAACTTGTATATCTCTCTGTATATGTACCACTGATCATTAGTTTCCGAGGGGCAATATTTGCATAAACGATCAATGCACAAGAACCTTTGCATCTTTTTCCTTCTAGAGCAGATTGGCCCGCAACCTTTCATTATATTTTGGAGAGATTTGGAAATTAATAAAGAATAATCTGGCTTTTGTAGAATATTTTTGATAATTATTCTTCTCTTTGTTCTTAGACAATGTGAGGTTGCTAATTAAGTTGCACTTAGATGAGAAATTAAGAGCTTATATTCTCGTTTTTGAATGGTCTAGAGAACCCTATCATGCCATTTGCAAAAACCCTTAATGCTGAAGCAAAGATTTGTCAAATACTCCTATAGCAGAAAGAAATAAAAGCAAGGCAAAGGCCTACTAGTAATATCTTTAACGTTAAGAAAGAAAACTAGACAAGCTTGTTGATCAAACCAAGCATTAATGCGCATTGATCTTTGTCTCTTTTTCTAAGGAAAAATGATTAACTAGTTGAGCCAGACTCATGGACAACCCGTGAGATTAAAATGGCTTCAAATTAAACCCAGAAATTTAAGCAATTACCATAGCACATTTTGAACTAATTAGTTCAATCAAATATCATGATTAGTTCCAAACTGATGTGATCTGATCAGCCATGTTGAATCTGTAACTGCAAACATTATTTCCAATATTTTATCCAAATAAACCATGTTGAATCGTCTAATAATAGTCATTTTGGTATTTGTTTGTTGTTGCGTTTAACACAAGAGACACCATAGAGTTTCATTATATGAAAAAATAGGAAGGAAATGTGTACATTTTCTTCTTTATCATTGTGAAAGTCGTGCAATTTTGATAATTATTCTTCTCTTTGTTCTCTTTGTAGCACGGAGAGGAAAGTGAAAGAATTGGGAAAAAAAAAATGAGAAAAGGAAAGTGATTGCATTTCTCCTATGAGTTTCCAACTGCAATTTTTAAATGCCCATGGGTTGGCATGTACATATCTTGGTGGCTTGATGGTGGAATCATGTTTTTTAAGGCTTTATGTTTAATGTACCATCAATATATAAATTTTATATATTGTTAGTGAATTGAATGATAACATCTTATTAATAAAATGAATCAAATGATGTTATTTCATTTGTTAGTTTCATTTACATCAGTAAAAGCAAAATCAATTATCAAATTATCCATATAAAATACAACAATTTAACATAGTTATTTAGCTTAATTGACTTATATTCACGAATGAGAAAAAAAATTCATTAATTATAAAAAATTTCAAATACATCAACAAATTAAACACTCATAATCAATTAATATCCATAGACTTTTTCAATATTCTCTACTCTTGTAAAGTATTCTCAAATAAAACAAATACATACTCATATGCACCTATACACTATACTTATGTGAATCATCTTATTTTTCTCTACTCTACTCAAACATAAATACTTATAAAGACGTTAATATCTTATAGTCCTGTGAGATGCCTATCCAATAAAATTTTATAATTTTCATACATTTTTCTTATATTTAACATTTTTGAGACTCCACATATTTGTAAGTATACAAACTTGTCTATAAAGAAATTTTCTCTTAAATTTTTTTGTGCAAGTCTTTTTATCTATTAAATAATATTTGATTAATTTTAAATAAATTTTTTATAAGATTTGAATCACTATTCATAACATCTGAGTAAGTTTTTTTTTCAAAATTATTTTTTATATATTTATTTTAAGGAATGATATTTATTCATTAATAAATAATTATTATTTAATATATTGAAGGCATATAAAATTTATACGCTGACAATACAATAAATATAAAATTTTTTAATAAAAAAATTATTCATTTTTTTTCTTGAAAGGTTAGGAAACCTTGACTTTTAATACTCTTTGTCAACTAGCTTTTAAAAGACCATGTAATTGACGAAAACACAAATTCATATAAGAGATTCTAAATGATGTAAATTAGTACGATGAAAGCTAAGATCATAGAAATTAATTTTATCAATAATTATATGATCTATTAGTTAAATATATAATTTTAATTTTAATAATCAAAATTTAATTTTAACAATCAAAATCACTTTTGAATTTTATCGAATTGTTGGCATTTTAAATGAACTTTTCGTGTCAATGGTAGAAGACAATGATTTGTCACTTGTAATTTTAATTAATGCATAAATACGAAATTATGTACCTATCATCAAAATGAAAAAGTTGGAGTTAAAGATTTTATTATTGCGATGAGATTGGTGACCCGTTCAGACCTTTTTTTTTCTTTGCTTTAAGAATATGACCCATTCCGACCTGTCCTATTCTCCAACTTTAAAACAAAAAATTATAGTTGACGTTAATATGATCCCATAGAGCATAAGGTAATAATAGTTAGAATGAAATCAGATTTAATCTAATTTTTTTAGATAATATATAAAATTTTAAAATTTAATTTAAATTTAAATCAAATTTTTTATAATTTAATTTGAATTTTGATTCAGTTTATTAATTTTAAATTTTATTTTTATATAGTATTGTAATATAATTTTTAATATATTTAAATAAGTTTAAGTATAAAATAATTATTTTTATTTTATAAAAATATAAAAATTAATAAAAATATATAATTTGATTTAGTTTAATTTTTTCTAATTTTTTATTTTTGTAATTAAAAATTCAATCCAAATATAATAAAAATCAAACTAAAAATAATTGATTTAAATCAAATCAAATATTATAATTTTAAGTCAATATTTTAAATTTTTTCTCACCCGCAACTGAGCTTGGATTTTTGTGTCAGCCTTGTTTTTGAATCTATAGATTTTAACTTAAAAAAAAAAAAAACAAAAACCGATTGTAGTTTTGGTTGATAAAAATTGGACTCGGAGACCGATAAGTTAAAAAGAAAAAAAAAAAAAAAAAAACACCACCGAAAGGCAAGATAGTGGGCCGTTAGAGCTAAATCTGTCTGTAAGTAATTTCCTTTGTCCCTTTCCCTATGTTTGATGCTGTGGGCTACCCATTGTTTGCAGCTTCCTTCCTTACAAAGCTTTAAAATGAATTTTCCTTCTTTCTTTCGTTTTTTAATTTTTTTTCTACAAAAATGGAATTTACAATCCAGATAGTATGGGAATTCCACTGTACAAGGAACAACATCTGCCAGCGATCAAATATCCAAGGGCTGCATATCTGCCACGTAGCAAATGCTGTAAGAACCCCGTGAGTAGACAAGTTGGGTTTTGGATATTCGGACCCTTGAACCATGATGCCAAAAGCAAAAGCCGACAAGCGACAAAGCCAACAACGTATTTGATATTTCCAAACTCAGTGGAAAAACAAGACAGGAGCTTTAGTGGAAGGATTCTTTGAAAGTTTTGATAAACATTAAAGGAAAAAATGGAAACTTTAGGATTGGCAGAGATGGAGATGGAAGTGGACTCTAGTTTTGCAAATTCGGATGTTGGATCCACTCAGGCTCGATCTGCTTTTCAATGGGGTGGCACCATTTTTGCCTTGTGAGTCAACCCAGTTCTTTGCTTTCTTAATTATGTTTTCTTTACATATTATTGCATTGATTGTCTTCTTTTTTTAGATTTTAGATGAAAACTCCTTTTGGGTTGCTTTTTCATGTTAGAGATGAATGGTTATGTAGGTGAATTAATGAGTTTTCTTTGTTTTTGGCTGTAGCCAATAGCCAATGGTAACTTTGAATGGATCAAAGTAATGTAAATTTGGGTGATATTCTCCTTACCCAGGAATGCTGGCGATCCCTTTTTTCTGTGTTTAAATTTAAAACTTCTAGATAAAAGGTTAGGTTTTGAAGGCTTTAGGGGTGCTGACTTAGTGGGAAAGGGTGGTTTAGACGTTTGGTATCAGAATCTGATGTGGTGTAGAACAAATGAGCAGAAAAGAGATAGTAGGAGATAAAAGAGACATAATTCACCAGAAAGAGAAAACTGACACTGGCAATCAACCTTATTTTGTAAGCAAATTTTGTTGGAAAACTTTTATATTCTCTGTTCTAAATTGGTCCAAGTGTCTCCTGCTGCCTATATGACGGACTCCAAATATGTAAAACAACCTAGGACGACTCATAATCTAATTCTATCTATAGGAGGACTCGTAACTGGGAGTAATTGACCAACACAAGAATCAAACTGCTCCGGATATGAACCCATTTAAGTCAGTTTGACTCCAGAAACTTGAAAAATGCTCTAACAAACTAAACCTGGAGAGTTACTGGAGAAGGACTAAACAATCTCCTAAATAATACGAGAAATAGTGGTTAGATTTTGTCTTTCTTGTGCCTATTGTTGCCTTATCATTCGATTATGCTTATTCATGTGTTTGCATGCTTGGATAAGAAAGTAGTATGCCTAAATACCTGAATAACATTCTTCATTCAAAACATTCTTTTTTCATGGTTTCCGTTTTCCATAAGAAGGCTTAAGTTCCATCAGTGAGCCATTTCTAGGCTTGTGTGTGAACAAACACTCGAACTGCTGTTTAAGATGTTTCCTTATTCAAACATTTGTATATCATTTGTTTTCCATACAGATTTTTATTACTCATGAACCGAACAGGACGGAGATCACATATGCAGACAAACCTCCTAGTATTATATCTTTTTGCTAGTTTCCCAACCGTACTCTTCAAAATCTTAAGGTGCTTGTGCATGTTCAATGTTTATCTCAGTTGATTAGCTTCTGCTTTGTAGTGTTATAATTTTTAAAATTTCTAAACGAATGATGCAGAGGGCAATTTGGTTGCTGGGTTGCATTTCTTGCTGTTGCTTCAAACCTTTTTTTTCCCCAAACCTTTCCAGGTTAGAAGAGTTTAACCAATTAGTTGTTATTACGTGTGGCGTAATAATATGCCTGTTTCACATCTCCCTACTGATAATGATTTTCTGTTGGTTGTATGTAACAGTTTCTCGTTTTATCCTATTTGTAATTATCCCTGATTGGCTGGCAGATAGATTGCGAGACGACATTGTACCTGGCATCTTGTGTCTCATAATTGCAATTTTAGTTATCCTAACAGAAATTCGTGGAATTGGAGGATTGGAGAATTGTCAATGTAAATGTCATTGCTTTGGTTACTGGTTTGGTGTAGCTTGCTTATTTTTCTTTACAATCTTGTATCTTGCTACTTAAAAGAATTGAAAAGTATCATTGGGAGAACATTTTTTTACTTAATCTTGAACTTGGTTATAGCTCCAAAATGAGAATGAATTATTTCAACCAATTGGCCTGGGAGTATCAGCTACTTAATTCTGGACAATATTTTTTTTTGATACTTGACAACCTGTGATTTGAACTATGATCACTGAAATTAAGAGTTCAATATTCTACCAACAGGTCACGATGCTGTTGGCAATTATGGACAATATTGCTTCTACTCTGTTATATATATGCTTTTTCCATACGTAGCCTTGCTAGAAAAACAAAAACGTTTCTTAAAAGAAGAAAAGATGGCATTCTTGAAGCATAGCAGCTAGTTTTACTCTTTACCAACATGAGATGTCATACACTAGTATTTGCAAAATTTTCATTTGGGCATCGTCACAAATTCAAAAGTTTTCTTGCTAGAGTTTTCCTTCATTAGATGTATTTATGGCACACCAGAGATCCAAAGCCAGGAGAAACTTGGGTGGTTGGCTCGGTCAAGCTCAATTATTTACAATAATTGAAGGGTAAGTGAAAGCACCTTCTGATTATAATTGAACATGCCTGATTTGGAGCCCTGATAGTGTTACTTGCTCCATATGCCTTTTAATAAATCCGAAAAAAGAGAAAGGGCAAATTGGGATCCGCCGTCTCATGGTTTGGAAAGTTGAACTTTCTGGCGGCTTTGACAGTCTCTCATTTGACCAAGGAGCAGCCACCACGATAAAGTTCTCTTCTTTAGTTTGTTTGAACAGAAGGAAGTGTGGAAGAAAGTGAGGGATTGGGTATGCCCTTGGATGAAGTGTTGAAAGAGGCTGTCATTTTTGTATTCAAATGCATTACTGGGTCTGGTAGTACCGTTCAGCATTTAATGTCTAAATTTCAACTTTATGTATCAATACAAAAGTCAACTTTGTGATTCCGTATTATACTTTTATTGTCAGATGTTACGTATCTGAAGACTGCTTTGCTTTCAAGCTTTGAATTGGTAAACATCCCAAAGACTACAGAAAATACTTGCTATTTCCTGGATCTTTCAGTGAACCAACCAATTCTCCCTCTTCCACCCTCTTTACATATTCAACATGCAGGCTTCTTAGACTATTCTTCAGTTCCATATATTTTGCCAGAACCAATATAATCACCTATCAAGAAACATTTTGGCACAACCTACATTAGCAATGGGTTCTTTCTCCCATATTTCTGTGTTTACCCTCTCCTTATTTTGTTGTAGTTTCTTGATACAAGCTCAGCAACCATATGTTGGACCAAAAACAACAGATTGTACAAATCCAGATACTTCAGATTCTGTTCTTGGATACACCTGTAATGGCTTAAACAGGAGTTGCCAAGCTTATCTGGTTTTCAGATCCCAACCCTCATATAATACCGTTACATCAATTTCCAATCTCTTGTCTTCTGATCCATCTCAAATTGCTGAGATAAATGAGGTTTCTGTGACTACATCATTTGAAACAAACCATTTGGTTATAGTTCCTGTCAACTGCTCATGTTCTGGTGACTATTATCAGGTAAACACAACGTATACTGTTCAGAGTGGAGACGGCTATTTTCTTATTGCCAATGACACCTTCCAAGCCCTCTCAACTTGTCAAGCTATACAGAATCAGCAGCCTGATATTCGCTCTGAAAATTTGACCATTGGATCAAGAATTACGGTTCCTCTTAGATGTGCTTGTCCCACAAGGAATCAAATTGATGTGGGAATTAACTATCTGGTGAGCTACCCAATTGCTCAAGGTGATTCAGTTTCAGGTATTAGTGAGATGTTTGGGGCAGATACTGAGAGGACTTTTGAAGCCAATCAGCTTAATGATTCCAACATTGTTTTCTTCACTACACTTTTGGTTCCCCTCAAGGACCCACCGTCTAATATCGCAGTGCCTTCACCGCCACCTCCACCTCCACCTCCATCTCCAAATTCTCCCCCCAGTGGAAGCTCCAACAAAACATGGATTTATATACTTGTTGGTGTTCTCGGGGGAGGTGCTCTAATATTGGTTGTTTGCACAGTGATTTTCTGTGTGTTCTTCCGTAAAAGCAAGAAGAAACCTGATTTGATCATGACCTCAGTAAGTTCTAAGGCTGCTGAAAAACCATTGAAGAAAAAGTTAGAGGACGAATCTCAGGACTTCTTGGATAGTATGTCACATATAGCTCAATCTCTCAATCTCAAAGTGTACAAATTTGAAGAATTGCAGCTTGCAACAGATAACTTCAGCCCCAGCTGTCAGATTAAAGGATCGGTTTACCGTGGTGTAATCCAGGGTGATTTTGCAGCCATCAAGAAAGTAAATGGAGATGTGTCAAAGGAGATAGAACTGTTGAACAAGGTCAACCATTCAAATCTTATTCGCCTTTCTGGACTTTGTTTCCATGATGGGCATTGGTATCTGGTTTATGAGTATGCTGCCAATGGAGCATTGAGTGACTGGATCTTTCACAACAACAACAGTGGAAAATACTTAAGCTGGAAACAGAGAATTCAGATTGCATTAGATGTAGCAACAGGACTTAACTACCTCCACTGCTTCTCCAATCCTCCTCATGTCCACAAGGACTTAAAAAGCAGTAATGTTCTTCTTGATGTTGATTTCAGGGCTAAGATTTCAAACTTTGCTCTATCAAGGTCAACGGAAGGGCGAGAGGGCCAATTTGCCTTGACAAGGCACATTGTTGGGACAAAGGGTTACATGGCTCCTGAGTATTTGGAAAATGGTTTAGTATCCACAAAGCTTGATGTTTATGGATTTGGGGTTCTCCTGCTGGAAGTAATAACCGGGAAAGAAGCTGCTGCATTCTGTGGTGAGGAATATATGAACTTATCAGACATTTTAAGCAATGTGCTTCACGAGAAAGATGGACAGGAGGGTTTGAAGCAGTTGATTGACCCCTCTATGCTAGAGAATTATCCTTCAGAACTTGCCATAGTTGTGGTCACATTGATAAATAGTTGCTTAAAGAAAAATCCAACAGCTCGCCCAGATATGGACGAAATTGTGAAGTCTCTGTCAAGAATGCTGACTGCTTCATCGACTTGGGATTCATCAAGCAACATGTCAGGGTCTCAAACATCTACAGGAAACTATTGATTGCACCGGGCCTGAAATGGAAACTTGAGTTAGTTTTTGTGATTTTTTAGCTTTTATTCTCTCCCCAGCATACTGCCCCTCTATTTCGAGCGGGCTGTAAGATAATAAGTTGAGTTAATTCACAATGGCTGTACTTGTGGTTCTTTTTCTATTAATTTTCCATATATTAGTTTTTGGTACGTATGTAGAATTTTTATTTTAAAAAAATTATTTTAATAAATAATTTTTTATATTAGGATAATAATGATAAATATTAATAATTTAATTTTGATTTTATTATAATATAAGTAAATTTTAATTTTTGATATAAATTGAATTTTGAAAAAAATTTGGCAACCTTCTATACAATTTTGTTAACTTATCATATAATTTTGATAATTATTGTTATAATTTTAGTAATTTTTTATAAAATTTCAGTAACCTGTTAATGTAATTTTAGTAATTTTTTATAACTTATAATATACTTTATAATAATTATTGATAAAATTTGTGTCATTATATATTTAATAATGAATATGTGTAAGAAACCGTGAGTTCAGTTTTAGTAAAATATAATTTTTTATATAATAATATTATTATTTCATTCAAATTTAAATTTTTTCACTAAATTTTTTTATTAAATAGGTTTATATAGGTTTATCCTACCCTCTTAAGATAAAATTTTAATTTTGTGTCTATTAGTAATTAAGGTTTAATTGCTGACAACTTCAAGTAAAAAAATTTATTAATGATTGATATTTAAGTTATTATTAATTTACTATTATATTATCAGCGATTTAATATTAAGTTATAAATGATGTACTGCTAAATTATCAATGATTTACTACTAAATTAACATTGATTTATTACTAATTTATGAATGATTTACTATTAAGTTATGACTGATTTATTATTAAATTATTGATGATTTACTATTAAGTTATTGATTATTTGTTATAAAATTATAACTAATTTACTATTAATTTATCAATAATTTACTACAAAGTTATTAATAATTATTCAATTTACTATTAAATTATTACTAATTTACAACTAAGTTATTAATGATTTACTATTAAGTTATTAATAATTTACATCTAAATTATCAATACTATACTATTATGATATTATGCATTTATAACTATGTTATCATTTATTTACTACTTAGTTTTTATTATTTACCACAAAATTATCACAGATTTTTACTAAATTAATCATGATTCATTATTAGTTTATCATTAATTTATACTAAATTATTAATGATTTGCTATTAAGTTATCATTGATTAGCTACTACTAAGTTATGTTGATTTACTTTTAAGTTTTCAATGATTAACTACTAAATTATCATTGATTTACTACTAAGTTATTTATAAATTACTAGTAAGTTTATCGATTAATTACTATTAAATTAAAATTAATTTACTATTAAGTTATCATTAATTTACTATTAAGTTATTATTGATTTATTATTAAATTATCAATTACTAACTACTAACTTATCACTTGTTTTATTAACTTATCATGTATTTACTAATATGTTGTTATGCATTTACAACTATGAAATATGAAATTTAAAAGTTTACTAATTATACGAGGTAATTTTTTTTATATAATAATATTATTATTTTATTCAAATTTAGAATTTTTCATTAATTTTTTTATTTAATAAGTTCATGCTAGGTTTATACTAATTCCAAAATAAAAATTTTGACTTTGTTTTTGCTAATAATTAATTTAATATTTAGTAACTTTAAGTATAAAAAAAGTTATCAATGATTGACAATTAAATTATAAGTAATTTACTACTAAATTATAAATTATTTACTACTAAATTATTAATAATTTACTAAAAAAATTAATGTGTAGATTTGAACAATCCTTTTTTTTTTTTTCTACTAGTACCTTTCTAACTTTTAATTTCTAATGAAGGAGATTTTTTTTACATTTTTTAATAAAATAAAATTTAAAATTAAATTAAAGATGAAATATTTGAATATCAATCTCATAAGTATCATACCAAATTTTTTGAGAAATACAAGACATCTTAGTCAAACAAGTAAAAAGATTTATTCATTTATAAGAAAAAGAAAAAACGTAAGCAATGATTGGGTTGATGATAAAATAAAATCTTGGATCGCGAACAATAGTTCAATTGATGATAAAGAAAGAGAATTTTTGGTTCAATTCTCCACTTTAACAAAAAAAAAAAAAAAAGATTGATCAAATTCTATTAAGTCTAGCTCATTGAGATCATTTATCAAAGAATGACTTTGGTTATCAAATGATTGAACAACCAGGACCAATTTACTTATGATTCTTAGTTGACATTCATAAAAAGTATTTAATGAATTTTAAGTTCAATACATCCTATTTAGTAAAAAGACAAATATTCCTTGCTCATTATCAAACAATCACTTATTCACAAACTTTATGTGAGGCTAATAGTTTTCATTTCCCGTCTCATGGAAAACCATTTTTGCTTTGCTTAGCCCTATTTCCCTTTAGGGGTATTTTAGTGACAGGTTCTATACGAACCGAACAATCTTATTTGGTCAAATACCTAACGACAAACTCTTATGTTCAAATCACCACTAAGTTATTGATCATTTATTATAAAATTATAATTGATTTATTACTAATTTATCGATGATTTACTAAAAAGTTATTAATGATTAACTAATTTACTACTAAATTATCATTAATTTATAACTAAATTTTAGTAATTTATTATTATATTATTAGTGATTTATTACTAAGTTATCAATTTACTACTAAATTATTAATGATTTGCTATTATATTTTTATATATTTACTATTATTTAGTCATTGATTATTACTTGATTTTCAATTACTTATTACAAAATTATTATCAATTTACCACTAAATTGTTACTGATTTATATTAAATTATGTGTGAATTATTATTAAGTTAACTATATGTTATCGATGATTTACTACTGAGTTATACTAATTTACATTTATGTTTTTAATGATTAATTACTAAGTTTTCAATTATTTATTACTAATTTCTAATTGATTATTATTAAACTGAAACTGATTTACTATTAAATTATCATTAGTTTACTATTAAGTTATCATTGATTTATTACTACATTACCAATAATTAACTACTAAATTATCACTTATTTTTTGTTAAGTTATCATTGATTAAGTATTATATTGTTATGTATTTATAACTATAAGATGATTGATTTATCATTAAGGTATTATGCACTTATTATTGTACTATTATTGATTTACTAAAAAGTAATCTATTATTGACTACTAAATTATCATTCATTTACTATTAAGTTATTACTAATTTTCTACCAAGTTATCAATGATTATGACTAAGTTATACTGACTATATTTAAGTTTTCAATTATTACTTAGTAAGTTATTAATTATCTACTATTATATTATCATTGATTTTTATATATCCAAAAAGAAAACAATTACAATATATGTTAGATGATGTAAAGAAAGCAAGAGGAAAAAGTTCAAATGTAAATGACTTGAAAAGTATTAGTAATTGCTCTTAACTTACTATCAATAGTTCAACACGTAAATAATAAATTAAAATCATAATTTTTTATACTAACACAAGTATTAAAACTAAATTAAATAAATATAGACAATATATATTAAGTCAACATTTCTAAAATATTCTTCAAATTTTTTAATTCATGGTAAAATAGTATATATTAAGATAAACATTATTGATGATTTAATTTAATTATTAGAGCATATGTTTTCATACCTGTTAGCGAAATACAATTGTATATAAAGATTAAAAACATAGAAGTGTTCTGTTACAAATAAAAATAATAAATTTTGCCTTACGTTTCTATCTTTATGTATATAATTTTGAGTAAAAGTTCTATTATATATATGATAAAAGTAATGAGAACAAATTTACTAAATAAAATTTATAAAAATTAAACAGACAATAATTTTAAAAAATATTAAATTCACAATAATTACTTTCTACTAAACAAAAAGATTGTATATTTTTAATTGTTACTTCATTTTTATTACATTATTCAAAATGACTTTTTTTATATTTTTATGTGAATTAATTCTCTATTTGGAAAGAGTAAAGAATATTCTAAGTGGTTATAATAACTTAAATAATGTTTAACTCTATACTGTTTTTCTAAATAAGTATGAACTATGATATCTCTTTCAAATGAAATGTCTGAATTGTTTCTCTTAACCCATATAATAATAACTTGATTAACAAATGAATAATTATAAAATCATTGCTCTAGATTAACATTTCTACAATACAAATTTTAAAATTTTCAAAAAAATATATTTTTTAATCTCTGTAAGACTTGAATATAAATATATTTTTTTAAGAATTATTATTAGTATTTTCATTACTTTTGCACTTAAATTTTTATTATATTGTATTCTCATTCTATTTTTAAATTTATTATCGGTGTTATAAAAGTATAGCTAAAGTAACATAGATTAATTAACTCAAACTTGAAATAATAAAAAAAATCAAATGAGTATTGTAGACACCATTTTTTTATTATTATTATTATTTTTTCTGACAACAGCTCTAACAGTCGCCTACAGTTACACTGCCAACAGCCCTGACAGTCACCGATAATCGTTCTGACAGTCGATGGTCGCCCTAATACTAGGCCACCAAAATCTCACATTTTCTGAAATTTTGGTCTTCGTTTTGCTCTATAAATAGAGTAATGAAACCGGTGATAAAAGGAGGGGAAAGAAAAGCCCAGAAACCCTGCAAAAAAAAAAAAAAGAGAGAAGACTTTGGAAAAAAAAAGTTTTTAGAATAAAAAAATTTTCTTTTTGCCAAAAAAAAACCTTTGCAAAAAAAACTTGCTGAAAAATAAAAAAAACTAGTTAAAAAAAAACCCTGTTAAAAAACAAACCCAAAAAATACAACCGCTAGTAGTAGGGATCTCAGCGTTAAAAACATAATTTTTTTTATTTTAACCAAAATTTTGGGCCTCTATCTATGCCATTCGAGATCGTTTCTTGTGAAATGGAGGTTAGATTTGAGTTCAGGGGGTCAAAAATAATTTTTTAGGTATTTTTTGAAAATGTTTTTAGCATATTCGACGGTGGTCGACAACGGCACCGACGACCGACGGCTGCGGTGGCGACAATAGAACCCACTAGAAACTAGGGAAGGTGAGAGAAGAAGAATTCTGGTAGAGAGAAAAAGAAGGAAGAAAAAAATGAAAGAGATGT